AGAAGTTGTAGGATATTATATGGTTTAAGTCTTGAAAGAATTCTTTCATGTTTATTGATATGCCGTTGGTAATTTTACAATAAATATATATTTTTGGTAATTTTTATTTGGTAAATGCATTGCTGGTATTTTTACTATAAAATGTATATTTATACGTTTTAGTGTTTTGTTTAAGTTTGGGGTTCATGATTTACCTACATTTCGCAACCTAACAAGTGCTACTACAGCGCGTCATGGTAGACCTTGCAACAACTGCAATTAAGAGGTGCTTCCAGAATCCTCAAAAGCTCCAATCTCCCGATCAGAGACCTTGCTGCCAGATGTAGTTCATCGTCATACCAAGGATTAAACGCAGAAAAGAAACTACAGGAATTCTTACAGAAGAGAGTGAAGAAAAGCGAGAAGAAAATACTAAATATCAATTGCAAGAAGACACAATGCTTGGTTGTTAATAAAAGGAACACTCGATATGTTGTAGCATACCTACGGACGATAATGGGTATCTCCCCATTCACATAAATAGAGTAGTAAATACTGTATGTTGGTCTGCAGTTGGAGATTCGTCTCTAGCTATGCTGGCTGGCCTCTCTGTCTCTGATCTTCCGGGAACTTCAGACGGGACTGCGTCGAGAGACAGAGTCTCGTCTCGGGAAACAGCTACCCAACCCCGTTTTGAACGAGGTCTGCGAGGAAATTTGGGTCGAGCCTACGGGCTCGAATACCCCATATTAAATTCACCGTTGTGACGCATCTGATCGCGTAGGGCGGTTGGTAGAGATTCGTCTCCAGCTCTGCTGATCAAACTCTCTTCTTTCTGAGGAGAGAGGATCCACAGACGAGGCTATGTCGAAGGGCAGAATCTCGTCACGGTCAAAAAGATACCGGACACTGTTTTATAAGGGGTATACGGGGAGTTTTCGGCTTAGCTTACGGGCTTGGACACCTCACATTAAATTCGGCCTTGTGCCACATCTGACCGGGTGGGGAGGTTGGTAGGTATCCTGTAGTTGGAGATTCATTGTGGAATTCGCTTGAGTCAGTCATAGCAGTCGACTATTTCTTCTACGCGCCGTGGGGGGATCGATAAATACTCAATTTATCGATCCCCCCACGAGGATTGAATGTGGCACAAGGCCGAGTTTAATGTGGGTTGATCCGAGCCCGTAGGCTCGGCCAAAAATATAGCTCTTGAACCCGCCTAGACGGGTTCAGGCCCCAGCCTACCTCCCCGGACGAAACCTTGCCCTTCGGCAAAGCTTCGTCCGGGTTCCTCTCTGCTCAAGGCAGAGAGTTCGACAGACGTCGGAAGTCAGCTAAGAATCTTATATATGTTGTTCTTGTCCTAAGTATTATCGTTCATTACCAACCTTCGTTTGATTATTCTATTCAGTAACCTTCCCTGGATTACAAAAACATGCAACTTACAAATTCGGGATACCAAAATAAAATAAGTGAAACAATTTAAATATCTCGGAAGTGTTTTAACAGAGAACGGAAAGAGCGACATTGAAATCCGAAGACACATTGGAGTAGCTTAAGATGCCTACCAAAGACCATGCAAAGTATATAAAAAAAAAAAAAAAAAAAAAAACAGAAAAGAAATTCGTTAGGAAATAATGCTAAACCATGACATAATACAAGTCCTCCTACATTGAAGTGACTGCTGGACAAGCTTCTCAAAGACGAAGAAACTTTAAGCAACAAAAATGTATTTCTGCACAAGGATACTGAGAATACAATGGACCGAACATTTGATCCACGACGAAAATTTAGAGAAAATAGAAACAAAAAGGACAAATACTTATGTTTAACTTTTACCAAAAGAGAAACATTTTATTCGGCCTTTGGATATTTCTATTCATAAATATGTGACTATACAACATTTTTACCACAGTTAAGTTTTTATTCATAAATATGTAAATATGCAATTTAACCCAGATTAACACATTTTTATTGCTAAATATGTAAATGCTATTTTTTTTCATTAGGTTTCTAATTTTAACCACATCAGGACTTTTTTAATTGGCAAATATTTAAATATGAAACATCCTAACCAGATTTAGACATGTTTATTTAGAAATATATATGCACACACACACACACATATATATATATATATATATATATATATATATATATATATATATATATATATATATATATATATATAATAACTTTTCCTACATTTAGACATTTTTATTCATAAATATGATAAATAAGCGCATTTTCCCCAGGTATAGACTTTTTTTATTTGGAAATATGCATATATGCAGTTTTACTCTATATTTAAAAGCTTTTAGTGAATGAGGAAAGTGGGCTTGGAAAATTTGATACTTACAGCACAGATTGAAGACGCAAACAACGCTAATTGAAATAGGTTGAATAAGTTTGCGCTACAAGGTTTATATGAAAACAAATATATATTAAGTTCTACAAAAGGACAGGAAATTGGGGAGAGCCTTGATCGCCAACGTCCTAAGTGTACACGGCATATTATGAATATTTAATAATCACGAAAAACTAGAATATCTGTCTTTCACAATTCCTGTCACTCGAAACTACTGACTTAATTCACCTCCAAGAGTCCGTGCAACCCTGGTTTGGAACCGAACCATAGGACGAAAGACCTTCTGCTTCTGTACGGATACATTTGACCATCAAGTTACAGTGGCCATTTTGTTTTCTTGATTAGATACAGTAATATACATATTATCAAATTTGAAAAAAAAAAGTAGGTATATTCTCACTTACGTAGGTGTATATTCTAGCCTAGCCTATTTCACACACCTGGGTATAAACTCGGCAAGATTCAGTTCTATTACGGGTATAGAACAGCCTAGTCTATAACTACATTGTGTTCTATGCTAACATATCCTGGCCTGTTATACCTTATGACGATAAACTACATCCGCGCAAAACGATAAACTACATCCGCGTCCTGGGTAAGACGATAAAGTACGTCCAACAGCAAAGCCTCTGATCAGGAGGTTTTTGAGAGGCGCGGAACCACCTCTTAATTGCTGGCCTTCCCAGATCCAACCTGACACGGGGTACTAACACCTGTTAGGGTCCCGTCTATGGGCAAATATTTGACCACCCACCACAGCGTCATTCAAAATACTATGCAACTGTAAAAATAAATTTTAATGCCAGACATAGTTTGTAAAAAAATAGTATCAGCAATAAATATTTGAAAAAAGAAAGTATTACCACCAATAAAAGTCTTGTTAGCATTAAATAACACATTGAGGTTAATAGGCCAAAAAACAAAACAAACCAAACTATACATTTTTGAACAAAGAAATTACTACCAGGTATACATTTTTTGAAAATAAAAGGAAATGTTGACGGCATTAAATAACCCACTGAGGTAAAACAAAACAATCCAAAGCAAACTGATTTCTTACAAAGAATACATATTCTATTCATACGAATCTATCCTAAAACTCTTGACGGCATTAAATAACCCATTGAAGTTGATATACCGTAAAACAAAACAATCCAAAGCAAACTGATTTCTTACAAAGAATACATATTCTATTCATACGAACCTATCCTAAAACTCTTGACGGCATTAAATAACCCATTGAGGTTGATATACCGTAAAACAAAACAATCCAAAGCAAACTGATTTCTTACAAAGAATACATATTCTATTCATACGAACCTATCCTAAAACTCTTGATGGCATTAAATAACCCATTGAGGTTGATATACCGTAAAACAAAACAATCCAAAGCAAACAGATTTCTTACAAAGAATACATATTCTATTCATACGAACCTATCCTAAAACTCTTGATGGCATTAAATAACCCATTGAGGTTGATATACCGTAAAACAAAACAATCCAAAGCAAACTGATTTCTTACAAAAGAATACATATTCTATTCATACGAACCTATCCTAAAACTCTTGATGGCATTAAATAACCCACTGAGGTTGATATACCGTAAAACAAAACAATCCAAAGCAAACTGATTTCTTACAAAGAATACATATTCTATTCATACGAACCTATCCTAAAACTCTTGATGGCATTAAATAACCCACTGAGGTTGATATACCGTAAAACAAAACAATCCAAAGCAAACTGATTTCTTACAAAGAATACATATTCTATTCATATAAACTCATCCTAAAACACTTATCGCATTAAATAACCCATTGAGGTTGATATGCCGTAAAACAAACCAAACCAAACTAAACTGATTTCTTACAAAGAATACGTATTCTATTCTTATGCACCTATCCCAATAATATTGTCAGCATTAAATAACGAATTGTGGTTGATATGCCGTAAACCAAACAAAACCAAACCAAAACTGGACTGTTATAATGCAATGTCTTACAGCATTAATTGGCTGTAAATCCATCTTACTTTTCGACACTTCGTCTCTTTGATTCCGAACTGTTGAGATGTTCTGGAAAGGAGAAAGGCAAAAACCAGTTCCTGTTCATATCACGATGTGGCTTTTTTTTTTTAATGATTTTGTTGAAACTTGAGGAATAGTGAGTCAATATCTACATCTCTGTCGTGCAAGGAATTTCGGGAAGAGTCTTTTTTTTTCTAGTGTGTAGGAAATCGTAGATTCGAGTCAGTCTGGAGACTAACACATTTGCACGTTCTTTTCAAAACATTGTAGTATACAAGAGCGACAAATATTGAATAAAAGCGAAAAGTAATCAACCGGCATCTGTACGATATAATTAGTAATATTTTCTGTTCTGTCTTTCTTTTTTTTTTATCTGTGTACACTGTAAAAACAGCATGCAATGTTTCTAGTTTTATTAAATCTGAAAAGACCGCCATGAAGAAATACCGAAAGCAGGAAAAATAAAGAAGACGAAAGCCGTTGAGATTTTAACAAGTGCCTTACACTCAAAGAAGATCGAAGACAAAACAAAGCAAATCTTTGTGTTTGTGTGTGTTTGTGATTGTGTTCTTTTGTTTGTTATTAATTTTTGTTTTGTTTTACTTATTGTTGTTCATTTCTCCTGCTAATTAGTAAACACGTTGCGTTGTAAGAAATGGCGAAGTCGAATCTCGTTTGTTAGACGTAAGGTGTTGTTTTGCCCGAAGAGACAATTAAACGCTGGAGTTCGTTTTGCTTCAGCTTTATTTCCCGCCATTTCATGTGGCGCAAACAAAAGTGGCGGGAATGTAGGATAAAAAAAAAAATGCAGTGTTTCGAAACTGAAAGAGGAGAACCGAAAGAATGTGAGTGAGAAGTATAAAGAAAATGAAATTAAAAATAAGGGGAAAAAGATAGAGAAATTAGTATAGCAAATAAGAAAACAACTAGAGAGGAAATTCAGAGAGAGAGAGAGAGAGAGAGAGAGAGAGAGATATATATATATATATATATATATATATATATATATATAAATAGAATAAAAGAGAAACAAAATAAGCAAAGGCAAAGTTAATCGAGTGAATTCAAAGGAGATTAAAATCGTGACTTGTAAAAGAGAGTTTAAAAATAAACCGACTGAGAGAAAGCGATTGAGAAAAAATGAAACAAGTGAAAACGAAAAAGATTTGCAAAAGAAATAAAAATAAAAATACAGAGAAGGAGAAGAGGAGGAGAAGAGGAGGAGAAGAAGGGGAGTAAGGGAAGAAGAAGAAGAAGAAGAAGAGAAGGAGGAAGAAGAGAAAAGGAGGTAGAAGAAGAAGAAGAAGAAGAATAGGAAGAGGGAGGAAGAGGAGGAAGAAGAGGAGGAGGCTAGCAAGAAGAAGATAAGGAGAAGATGGGTAGGAAGAAAAAGAAATGGAGGAGGAGTGAAGAAGAAGAAGAAGATGATGATGGTCAGGAAAAAGAAGATTAGGAAAAGAGGAAAAGAAGGAGGAGGGGAAGAAGAAGGAGAAGAGGACGAGGAGGAGAACGACGGAGAATTTGAGGAGGAGTAGGCGGACGAAGAAGAACGTTGAGGATGGGAGAAAGAAGAATAAGAAGAAGAAGAAGAGGAAGAGGAGGAGCAGGAGGAAAGGAGAAAGAGCAAGAAGAAGAAGTGTAAGAAGAAGAAGAAGAAGAAGAAGAGGGTGGAGGAAGTGGGGAGGAGGAGGGAAAGAGTAAGAAGAAGAAGCGTAAGAAGAAGAAGAAGGGGAGGAGGAGGAGGTAGAAAGAGCAAGAAGAAGCGTAAGAAGAAGAAAAAGAAGAGGAAGAGGGGGAGGAAGTGAGGAGGAGGAGGGAAAGAGTTAGAAAAAGAAGCGTAAGAAGAAGAAGAAGAAGAAGAAGAAGAAGAAGAAGAAGAAGAAACGGGGGAGAAAGAGAAAGAAAAAGAAGGAAAAGAAGAAGAGGACTGAAAGTGTAGGGGGGGAACTGAATCAACGCTAAAGACTAGATACGGATCTTTGTTAAATTAACATGTCGGATCTTATTGCCTCATTCAATGTCGAAATCAATCTTTTTTTGTTTTTCTATTTTCCTTTTATTTTTAACAATTAATGCGCTTCTTCTGGGTCCCGTTTCTCCTCAGGCTGTGAACGATCATGGCTCTTCACAGTTTCCTGTCCTTTACAGATCTTAGTAAAACGTGTGTTTTCCTATCTCTACTAATCCCTGTTTTGCCATCCATTTACACAAGCTCGTTAATGAAGTTATTCTCTTCCTCTGCCCCCCTTGGTTTTAACATGTCCTGTGAGTGTTAGCTTCTCTAAGCCTTCTTTCCTCATTATTCAAATACAAATAAACATTGCACAAATATTCTCATCATCCTTCTGTAGAACCATATTTCTGTTGCTTCAAGTCTCTTCTTCACGTGTAAAGAGACTGAACAATATTCTCCTCCATCTAGGAAGAAAAATATTACAAGAAAGTTCAGTACTCATTTTTTTTTGTTTCTATCAAAAGTTTCCTCTTCATTTTAGAAGGCATCTTTCTGTATCGTAAATCACCTTCATATTTCAACAAAGATGGCCGCCTTTATACACGACGGATACAGTGTTGTGCGGCTTCTGATTGGTCAACCTTCTATTGGTCGACTATAAAGGGAAATAAGTCATTCTGACTCGCTCACTAGTCATATATAGTATATACCCAAAAAACCGTAACAGTTTAAATATCTGGGATGCGTTGTGACGAAGGACGTTATGTGCGACGCTGAGATCCGAAGATGGATTTGAGATGACCAACGACACATTACAAAAGCTGGGCACAGTACTACGAGACAGGAGGATTGTTTGGTGACAAAGAAAAGAAGACTGAGCTGCTACGTAACATTTGTCCTCCTACACGGCAGCGAATTGTTGGACGGCCTCCTCAAAGATCAAGAAGAGACGCGAAGCGGCGGAGATGTGGTTCTACAGAAAGATGCTGAGGATATCATGGAGCAAGTGTGTGAGAAACGATGAAGTCTTGGAGAGGATGCAAACAAGGAGCAAGCTTATTCCTAACATGAGGAGGAGGCAGATGGCATTTCTGGGACACGTAATAAGAAAGGGGAACCTGGAGAATCTGATACTCACAGGTCGAATAGATTTCAAAGAGAGACAAGGGAAAGCAACGCTTGACTTACTTGGCGGGCTTGGGCAAGTGGATGGCAGAACGTAGTCTGGGGGAGTTGGCAGAGGAACGAAACTTATTAAGAGCCACAAAGGATAGGGGGGTGGAAAGCCATAATAGCCTACATCCTGAAGGGACACACCACATCAAAAGAAAATAAACTTGCTGGAATTTAGTATCTCCAATTTGTAATTCGCATGTCTGGGTTTTGATTTTACTGACATCCCGTACTCTTACAATGGATTGTTAGTCTCCCTCTCAATTTTCTTTAATACCTTGGAGGACGAGCTGAAGCATACTTTCCGTGTTTGCTATCAACACTGAGTCATCTGCATATCTTATTTTGTTAAGATCGTGGCAACCCATATATGAATTCTGGTGGGATGTCTCTCTCAGAATAAACTTGATCTGAAAGTTGAATAAGTCCGGTGGGAGCCACATTCTTGTCTTAGTTCTTTTTATGTTTTTCTTTACTTACTGAATTCATGTTCTATCCGTATAATCAGGGTTTGCGGCCATTTTGTGATCTGAATTATTCTTATATATTTCCCAAGTAAATCAAGTTTATATAAAAGTTCAAATAGTGTTTATTTGTATTTGAAACCTAGATATATGCTTTTCGTTTTTATTAATAAAGCTTCCATTATTTTAAAATTGTGTTTACATGTGAATGAGGCTATTATATTATGAGCACAATCACAAAACAATCTTATATCTTCAGATACATACATGAAAAACCCATACATTCAGTTAAAAATAAAACAAAATAAAATTTGTCCCTGTTAATGGTTAGGGTTAGACAGTTTAAATGTATCAATATCTGCTAACTCATGTCTTCTCTCTCCCCCCTCACGTCCTCACTTCGTTAATTTACATAAGTTTAATACGGCCCGTCAAAAATGTGTAAATTTTCTTTTCATTGTTTGTTTGGAAGTAAACTCTGATGATCCGCAGTCCTTTTAAAAGGGCTGGGTTGAAATAATTTATTACATGGAACCTTAAAGTGGTCTGTTTTTATTTAAATTATTTGCTCTGAATTTACACTGAGTTCTCTGGCTTTTTTCCTCCTTAGGTTTACCCAGAGTTATATGAGAGTCCAGAAAGAGAGATAATTACGGTTTCACTTACAGAGACGTGTACATATACTTTTCTACTAACCCGCATTCCTGGACTACTAATCTTCGTTTCAAGTTTGTATTCATACGTTTAATACACATATCTTTCTATTTCAATTACTGGCGTTGTTTATTTATTTGTGCAGGATTCCATCCCCGGAATCCACAACAATATATATATATATATATATATATATATATATATATATATATATAGTAGAATCCCTGACGAACGGACTAAGAAGGCCTTCCGAATATGGGGAATTGGCTACCAAGTCCGGATATGAGGGGGTATATTTAGATTAAGATAAAAGAACTGAAATCAGGTTTAACTTTTATTTTCAATGTTTTATAGTAAACAAAATAATAAGGTGGGTGAAATATAACAATAGATTTTAAGGAAAAATCAATAAATTCTGTAATGTTAATGAAAGTTCATTAAAGTAAGTATGCCACGTATGCAAAACAAATAATGTAACGACAATTTTTATAATCGCTGTTGCATGATGATTCTTTCTCTTTTAATGTCATTCTCAACTTTTTCCGTATTTTGTTTTGCTTTTGTTCTTGAATTTATTTTTTTTAACCAAAAACACTTTTTAACTGCGTTAAGTTCGTTATTGCAATGGCCATAACTGAATGCTGCTTTTCTTTCCATAAAACTGACAAACTTTTCAATAGCATTTTTCTATTTCAGTCGAGGTTTCATCACAATCATGATCTCGTCGCCATCTTGTTGGAAATGTGTTTCGTTGTCACCCTTTCCTCTTATTCCCATCATCGTTTCCACCAATACAAGCCATTAGGGTGAAATAAGCATCAGCAATTATCCAAAGTTAATTTCCTGAAAAAACAGAAATTTCAGATCGGTTACATATCGCCGACATAGTTCAAATATACGTATCAGTATCATGTCCGGATTTGCGGGATTCTGGATACGAGGGATTATACTGCCCCCATATATATATATATATATATATATATATATATATATATATATATATATATATATAATAATAATAAAAGGCTTAAACACTAATATTCCATGGTCATAATTTATTCCATTGGAATCGTAAATACGATCCAATTCATCAGACCTACAAATTCAAAAAGAAAACAGAAAAAAACAACTCCGGAAATAAAAACAGAATTTAGAGAGAGTGTAAGTATGAGGAGGAGGGAGATTAAACCTTAACAGAGAGAATTTTAGGAGAGGTGAGTGGAAGGGGTTTAAGTAAGAGAAAAATGAATGTTGTCGGATGTCTAATGCATAAAGATACATTTCGTGGTGACATACACACACCATAACAGAATTTAGAGAGAGTGTAAGTGTAAGGAGGAGGGAGATCAAACCTTATATATGCCGTGACAAGATTTCACAGCACACTTAAGAGAATCTAGTGTTTCGCGGCACTGAGGTTTAGTATCACTAAGCTAGATCATTTACAACTGAATAATGAGTTAGATCCTGAGTAAGTGCGCCTAGTAAATCACAGAGACCGTATTACACACTACAATAATCGTAACGCTCACATCTGTTCAATGTGCTTTCCTTGATTGATAAAAGGGATTGGATTTTCAATATCTGCAAGCAGATACATTTTTTATGGGACTTCTTAAATTCTCATGTAGTAAAATTAATATTATTGTTTTTAAGAACTACAAATTACAAGTATCTCTATTCAAATACATGTATCCATTAAAAAACGTTCACGAATACCAGAAATAGAGTGTGATGGGGAATTTTAAATACGTATAAAAATTTGGAAAAAAATAGAGACATTCCGCCAGTAATTTGGCGTTATATGAAATAACAATTTTTGTTTTGATTTTTGTCAGTCTAAAATATAACATGACTCGGAGTTTCATGCAGATACGCAATTTTCAGGTACAACATATTCAACAGTCAATGAGTATTCTGCACCTGAAGATTGCGTATCCGTGGATATCATTCGCTATCTCTCTACCTCAGTCTGTTCAGATCTATCTATCTATCTATCCCAGTCTGTTTATATCTATCTATCTATCTATCTATCTATCTATCTATCTATCTATCTATCTATCTCAGTCTGTTCAGATCTATCTATCTATCTATCTATCTATCTATCTATCTATGTCTGTTTATATCTATCTATATATCTATCTCAGTTTGTTCATTATCTACCTATCTACCTACCATAGTCTGTTCTTCATCTGTTTACGAAAATCCTATGTTGGATATATGGATTTGTTTTAGTATTTGTTTCTCTCTATCTGTATATAAATCACGCCTAGTTCTGCCTGTCTCTCTCTGTCATATATATATATATATATATATATATATATATATATATATATATATATAGATATAGATATAGATATAGATATAGATATATAAAGAACAGTAAGATATATAATCCGGTGTTCTTATTGATATTCATTTTTTTATTTTTATAAAAGAGTGCTCAATGTAAATTTACAGAGCATAAATATTATAAATTAACTGATTTAATATATGTTTTTCGCTACACGTTAATAACCATGTTTCAAAAATGGAAGCTAAAAACTTTAAATTTAATTATATAATTAAATTAAAAGCATTAGTTCCGTTTCATCTTCAAGCGAATATTGGAATAACTCATTTTTAAATTTACTGAGTTTTAAACGCACATATAAATTCATAATTTACTGTTTCCATGGGTACAGAGAAATCCAATCATTCAGACAGGGGCCGACTGTGTAGCGAAAAAAACATATTTTAAATCAGTTAATTTATCATATATATATATATATATATATATATATATATATATATATTAATGAATATCAAACACGTAAAATCTCATTGGTAATAATCTTTGTTTCATGTAAGCTATAAAAATATCTTCCAATCCTTCCGAACTGCAACCCAAATATAAACGGGAAAAATGACTCCAGGTTAAATTCAAGTCCTACAGATATCGTATTATCGAAAAAAGTAGAGTTATAATTAACATCCCAAAGAGACAGTTGAAATTTCTTGGGTACATAATAAAGGAAATGGCTTGGAAAAATTGATACTCACATGACAGACTTAAGGCAACAGCGGCAGAGGCAAACAACGTATGCCCTATCAAGAAAGCTTGAGTAAATCGATGGCGGATCGCGGTCTATAAGAGATAGCAAAAACAGAGAATTTATTAAAACCTACAAAGGACAGGAAATTGTGGACAGTTTTGATCGCGTACGTCCTGAAGGGATACGGAAAACAGAACAAGATGTCTTAATTTGTAAAACATTTAACTGTATCATTATCAAAATTAGATTTTGGATAATATATCTTAGATTTTAATTATCTCTCATTCTGTTCGTATTTCATTTGTTAAGGAGCGGGAAGTTAGCGAAATAGCCGTGCCGGACATTAATCGTTTTCTTTTGAGTAGAAAAGCTTTGAATTTTAACTCAATAAACGGGAAAATAAAGGAGAAATGTTATTTAATAATTGTGTTGCGGAATTGAGAATGGTATTGAAAAATTTCTGCATCTAACCAACTGGCAGCAGGTGATGAGTAATCACTTTGGAAATTATTCTGTCTTTGAATTCCATACGCAAGTATTTAATCGAATTTGGATTCAAGTCAATTCGTATAGAGTGGTGAATATGAGTAAAGACAATGACTGTCCTGGGGCGGCTGACAAGGTTTCATGCGTTATGTTACTTCGTCTCTGTGTGACGGTTACACACCTGGCCCAGGGTCGGATCCTTTGGTTACGGCGCCAACGGTGACGTCGCTCCTCCTGGTCGCTCCTCCTGGGTCCAAGCGTGCCGCTCCAACCCCTTGGTCAGATGATCACCAGCCTCGCCTTTCCCGACTCGCTTCCAATACCTGGTCACTAAAGCAACTGTACCGATCTCCGGTCTGTCTACCCACGCTGTGTTTAGATCTTAGACAGACGGGACCAGCAGGGATTAATTTATAAGTTGAGTCCGACGGGGTGGCAAAACACAAATAAAAGAGAAAATAAACTCACGAGACAAAAGATTGCTGATGAAAAAAAAAGGGTAACAACCTTTTATATCTTAATGTCCGTTACATAAAAACAAAATTGTTCTCATTTCCCAACCCGCTCTGTGGACTATGGCACAAGCTTCTATCACACAAACCTAAAGATTTCAATTGTCTACTCTTTAGAATTGTGTATGTCGGAGTGTGGTTTGGTTCGACACTGGGGCTAATTTCTATCGATCATTCGCAGTTGATTCTTCTCTTCGACTTGAGTTGTATTTCTTCTTCTTCGTCGACTTAGGCTGGAAGTTCTCTTGTCTTCGACTTGGGCTGGAAGTTCTCTTGTCTTCGCCTTGGGCTGGAAGTTCTCTTGTCTTCGACTTGGGCTGGAAGTTCTCTTGTCTTCGACTTGGGCTGGAAGGATCTCTTGCCGCAACTCAGCCGCAACTCTCTGTCGTCCGAGGTGATCTCTTCTCGCTGCCGTCCGGGGCTGAACTGCCTTTTGTCGATTGGGGCCCTGCTTTTATTGACGCCGCAGCAAACCGGGGTGGGTCTGTCGGCGTCAGGGTTTTCTCGATAATTCCAAAAGTCGCATTATTTTTTATTTCTCATTATCGCTATTGTTTTCACCCCTACTTCCTCACAATGCCTTTGGTGGGGAGGTGCACCCATCTCTCTTAGTCTCTCGTATGTCAGGTGACCGTTTTTCGACCAATGGTTCCTGATCGGGCATTTCTTTCTCTTCTTTTCTGCAGATCACGTGACCGTTTCCGACCAATTGTTATTGATCGAGCATCCTTTCTCCTCCTTTCGGGCGTGGTTACATCGTTCTTGTTTTTAAAAAAAACAAAATCTAAGTTGGCCTTTTTCGCACGTACGAAAAATGATAATCTTGGCTTTTTTTCTCACCTGGGTTTTGTCAACACAGCCTGCCGCTAATTAGTTGTGACTTCAGGAAAGAATATTGTCGCCATCTGTGATCTGAGACAATCGTTTTTTTCCTCTTGTTTTTTGTCAGACCCGGCAGTCAGAAAATCTTAATTTATCTGAATTGAAAACATCTTTCACTCGTCAATATGGGGTTCTAATTTTAACAGGTCAGAATCTGTATACCGTTCCACCGGTCACTCCCTCAACCCAAAAGACACTTTTTCTCTGATTAAAAAAAAAATTTCGTTTCTATTGTTCTAAAAAGAATTTCCCTTTCTCCAATTTGATAAGGTGTCTTTCTACGCAAAAGTAGGCTAGATGCTTTGACCGATTTTCTTATCAATTGCCAAAACACTGTCATCAAGCCTGGTTCTTTTTCTCCCTCTTAATGATTTTTCATTTCAAATAACAATTTCCCATTGTCCTTTAAAATTCGGCCACACGCAGGCCAAGATATCTTTCTGACACTTATCTTCGCTTATGACTGGGTCATGCATCATCCAACTCTCTCTCTTTCTTTTTTTTATTTCTAATTCTATTCTTCCAATTGTCTTTAAAAAATTCGGTCAACATGCTGGCTAAGATATCTTTCTGACTCCTACCTCCACCATTGACTGGGTCATGCATCATCCAACTCTCTTTCTTTCTTTTTTCTTCTTCCCTTAGGATCGTCCAAGTACAATCTTAGTGAATTATTTTCAACTCAATTATTTTCCGTTAAAAAAAAAAAAAAAATTAACAACCTGTTTAATAAACCGAGAAAAAAAAATTAAATCATATTTCTATGAATATTTCTAATAATGCAAGGTGCCACATCTGGTCCGTTTAAGGCTACAGTGAAACGTACTTGGTAGATAGAAATAAGAATACTGAAAGAAGCGGTTGACCCATAGAATCCCATATTTATTATAGTGCCACAGCCTCACTCCGATAGATCATTCTGATCTTGTGACTTTCCTATCAAGTTCATTTTTCCGGGTTGGAGCTGCTAAAAAGCAAATCAATAAGCGAATCTTCAACACGGCTAAAAATATTTAAACAATTGTTTTTATAATTTGAGTATTATTTGTCATTCAAATGCATTACAAAAACTTCAAGAAAATATTTTGTGTATCTTTTTTTATAGCACAACCGAATGAATTGCGTTAGTATAGACGAAACAGAATGCGTCTACATGTGATAATTTGTGTAATACGGATGTATGTTGTTTTATGTGTGCGCATAAATTGCAGCAGTCAGCCGCAAGAAATAAACAGGGAAGCTAGCTTGCTACTGTTTTCTATCGTAAACAAACTTAGTCTGCATGTTTTTCTATGTGCCAATATCCCTAGGCATATTGTGTTATGTATTACACTAAAATAAATATGCAAAAATCTGAGTAATTATTTAAGGGTGAGTATTTCAGTTTTTAAGTACTACAAACGAACGAGATCACTGAACAATGGTTAACGAAAAAATTGTGAAATAAAATTGATATATATATATACAAACAGATCTATTACTAGTATTTATATATTTTATATATATATATATATATATATATATATATATATATATATATGTATGCAAACAGATCTATTACCATTATTTTATATATATATATATATATATATATATATATATATATATACAAACAGATCTATTACCAGTATATATATATATATATAAAGAAACACTAATATTCCATGGTCATAATTTATTCCATTGGAATCGTAAATACGATTCAGTTCATCAGACCTTGGTAGGTCTGATGAATTGGAATGTATTTACGATTCCAATAGAAGAAATTACGATCATGGAATATTAGTGTTTAACCCTTTTTATTATATCCTTACTCTGTCCTGGACATTGAGTTCTACCTGGATTATATCCTCTTGGAATTTTTTAT